CCCAGCTCCCACTCCCCTCCCCTTCCACCTTCCGTCTCCCACTCCCTCCCCTTCCACAGACCCCAAACATTCCCCAGCTGCATCACCATCCCTCCTCTTCCCTCCCTCCCTCCCTCCCTTCCTTCGCTCGGACCAGCAGCCCTTCCAATCATTTACAATTCCCCATTCTGCACGAAGCCCTTTGCCCTAGTAAAGAGAGAGGGGAAACAGGCAGGGGAATCTTTAAACACAACGGCAGAGAAAGTACTGTGTGGGAAGTTACGAATTAGAGGTCTGTTCGGATCTGGATTAGATAACAGCAAATCGTAGGTTTAATCTTTTCCCATTAAATAGCACTTACATATTGGAACTTCGAAATGCTATAATCTGACGAAAATTACTATTTGTAGCTGTTGTATTGCACTTACATACTGTAACTTGGAAATGCTCTAATCACAAGAAAATTACTCCATTTGTGACTGTTGTATTTAAAGACTGATAAGAGAACAATGGCAACAGCTGCTGCCAAACCATATCACATTCGTAGGTAAATAAAACGAACCAATAACATTAGAACAAAGAGGACACATAATTCTAGAAACGTGAGAATGAGAAAGAGGATCATTTTACCGTCTATAGTGATCTACTTAATATTTTTGAGAAAGATAATGCATTTCTGAATACGATTTCATAACCGAAACTTTGAATTATTCATCTTGAAAGTGTGCACTCCTTCGCAACACTTCTGAACACAGCAAGGAGCATGATATAATGCAAACCGCAGAGATTTTCGACCGGTTCGGCAGACACGAACAAAAGGGGGATCATAATGATTTAGGAGAAGAATGGAAACCGCTCAAAACTGATGCCTGAACATTCTCTGCGTTTATAGTTTGCGAGGAAAGATGTATATATTCAGAATGAAAATAATAATAAACAGGATGCAAGAACATCAAACACGACAACGAAATAGAATACAAAATATAAAGGACGTTAAGAAAATGAGAATACACACAGACGAAAACCAAAGAATCGAGTACATGTATTTTCCTTTTTTTTTTTACTCTTTTTTTTCTTCTGAAGCTTGAGTCCTGGTCGCGTGCAGGTCGAGGAAGCCCCACTGCGTGTACAAACATTTCTGGTATCGAAACGCCATTCCACTTTCGCTGATTTATTCATCTGTTTTCCCATATTCGTTCGTCTTTTTTATTTTTGGTTATTCTTATCCATCTATTTTTATCTATCCTATTATATTTTTTATATTTTTGAAAACAGGAGATGGAGTAGAAAAAGGGAGAAAAAGGAATAGAGAGAGAGGAGAGAGAAGAGAGAGAGGGAAAAGAAAGAGAGAAAAGAAAAAAAAAAAAGAAAAAAAAGAAAATGTAAGAGACGGAGAAGAGATCTATAAACACTGCCAAACAAAGACGGCAACGAATGCAGAAATACGTAGTAAACACAATGGCTCGATCCAAAACAGAGCAGCAGGAATAACTTAACGGAGAGCAATCACTGGGCTAAAACCAAACCCTCCTATTACCTTTCCCTTCTTCCTTCCCTCTCCCTTTCTCTTTCCTTCCCTTCCTTTTCTCCTTTCTCTTTCCTTCCCCTTTCCCTTTCCTTCTATTCTCCTTTCCCTTTCTCTTTCCATCCATCCTTTTTCTCCTTTCCCTCCCTTTCTCTTTCCCTTCCCTTCTTCCCTCCTTCCCTTCCTCCCTCCCTCTCCCTTGCTCCCTGTTTTTCCTTCTATTTTGTCTACTTACTGCTGTTTTTTTATATAATTTCTACCAGGTCTAGACAACGAAAACACATACTGATTGATTGCTTAAATAGATTTATCCGAACAAGAAGAATATTTGACAAATTTATTAGATATATATATATATTTTTTTTTTTTTGCAATTTACAATAAAATACTATTTCTTCCGTCTCCCTGCTCTATCTCTCTCTGTTTATCTCCCTCAAATCCTCAAGTTCTCCTAAACCATCTCACCTGACCTAGCTTCGCATAGATAACCTAACGTTAAAAAGGTATGAATGAGAAGGAATATATTCCCAATAAAACAGATGTCTTTGCCCGGTTTCGAATACATCGTCAGATATACATTCGAAAAGACACCTGTTGTATTGTGGAGATATTCATTCTCATTTATTCCCTTTTTTTTACAATTGTCAAAATGACCTCTTAAGACTCAATAAATAAACGAAATAAAAATAAACAAATAAATAAATACACAAATAAATTAATAAACAAATAAGTAAATAAAAACAAATGAATGAATGAATGAATAAATAAACATGAATAAATAAAATATATGAATAATAATAAATAAATAATGAATGAATAAATAAATAAATAAAATGAATAAATAAATAAATAAACGAATAAATAAATAAACAAATAATAAACAAACGAATAAATGAAAAAATAAACGAATAAAATAAATAAACGAATAAATGAATAAATAAACGAATAAATGAATAAATAAACGAATAAATGAATAAATAAACAAATAAACAAAACAAACAAAAAAAAAAACGAAACAAAATAAAAAAGCCCCTCCTCCAGTCATCCAAGACAGCGACCACCCCGCCCAGCATCCTCCGCGTCGAGCATCCTCCTCCTCCGCGTCCCTGAGAGCTCCCTCCGCCGGCGCGGGGAGGGCGTCGCGCGGGGGAGGGAATTGCGCGGTGAAAGTGCGATCTGTGGAGGCGCGTCGGGGAGGAAATGGGGACGGAGGCGACGGCCACTCCGAGGGGGCCTTCTGCTCATGGCGGAGTGGCTCCTCCTTACATCGTGTGCGCGCATCACAATTCAAATACATACATACATACAAACATACAAACACGCATATATATATATATATATATATATATATATATATATATATAATATATATATATATATATATATATATATGATATAGATATATACACATTAATACACATGTATTATACATGCCTATGCCTATATATATATATATATATATATATATATATATATATATATATATATATATATATATATATATATATATAACACAAATATGTATATAAATTTCAATACAAATCCATGCACATGCAAATAAATACATATTTACATGCAAATGAAAAACAGGAATGCATATTCATGTATACACACAGACAAATTGTTTGCATCTGTGTATCATATGTATACTATACACGCCATATATAGCGGGAGTTTAGACGCATAAAACAAACCAATGTTTTTTTTTTTTTTTTTCTAGTGCACAAGAAATTACCCTCCCCCCCAAAAAAAAAAAAAAAAAAAAAAACACACAACACACCCTTCTAACACAACACAAGAGCAACCCCAACCAGAACAAAAGCAATTAACAACAACAACAACAAAACGTGTCACGTGTCACGCAACTGGCAACAGCTGCGGCCCGAGATAATCAAGCAGGTGCCTGGACACTTGCGCCCTTAATTACACCCGCTTTAAATTCGACAAAAACTGACGTCGACACATCACCATTCTGCTCGGCGCGCGAAGGGGACCGGCCAGGGAATTAAGGGGTTCGGGGGAATTAAGGTTTTTCTGCGGAACTTCAAGGGCACTCGATGGCGGCGGCGGCGGCGGCGATGTCACATACATCTTCATCATAAAAATAATGGTTTATACATTCAATATATCTAGATTTATTGCCTATATACGGGGTATATTTATGCCTTTCCTATGTGTACATATATATGAATGTGAATTAGTTAATTTATGTGTGTGTGTATATATGTGTGTGTGTGTGTGTGTGTGTGTGTGTGTGTGTGTGTGTGTGTGTGTGTGTGTGTGTGTGTGTGTGTGTGTGTGTGTGTGTGTGTGTGTGTGTGTGTGTGTGTGTGTGTGTGTGTGTGTGTGTGTGTGCGCGCGCGCGCACCTTGTGCAAAGGTATTCATTCATTAATGAATTATAGATGTTTATCCATATACTGAAGATACCAATACTGACTGTCTATATATATATATGCAAAATTCCTTATACGCACATATAGAGATAAGCATTTACAGTACATGTGTATTTATCATACATATGTGTGATAATAAATATACAATTTACAAATATGCAAACAAACGATTGTATAAATGCTTACACGTCTGTATATCTGGCCTATGTATGCACACGTAATCATACCTGATATGTATACGTATCGATATGTAGAAGTGTGTATATACCCACTTTATGTATAGATATAAATCATAAACTTATGGCAGTTTATGGATCATTGTAGCGTCAGAGCAAAAAAAACAGGTTTTAAACATTTTAAGATCTTGGAAAATAAAATACAATCTCATAAAATAAATCAAAACAAGATAAACAGGCTCATCGTTTTATGGTTATTCTCTTCCTAGAAAAAATATATTTATCACCGCATGAAAAGCAACTTAAAACCGATAGAGTTCGTTAGATAAAAATATATATTTGATGTGCTTTCAGTTTAAGTCGTTACAATTTCTCCAATGGTTAGTTCATAGCCAATACCCTCAAACGTGATCTCGTCTAATTAAGTGCGTTTCGATAAGCTAGTGGGCTGAAATGCATAACCCTATCACACTAAAAAAGGTTTCTTTGTTATGGATTGTGTGATCTGATGATCCATGATGTGCAATTTGGTGTATAACTGATGTGATGCTGATAGACGAGGTCTAATGTGATCTGATGTGACGCATGACTGATAAAATGCACGATCTGATGTGACGCATGGATGATAAAATGCACGATCTGCTGATGTGACGCACGACTGATAAAATGCATGATGTGGCTGAGTGATGTGATGAGCGACGTATTATGTGACGTCTCGAGAGCCTTGACATAACGCGAGGAGAGCGCTCTGACATCCGCCGGCGAGGGAGCGAATCGTCTCCAAAAGAGGAAAGGCGATCCACATTCGCCGCCATCAGAGCTTAATATGAATAATCTAATAAACTCGCAAATCTCAAATGTGATTTAATTCGATCTGGCACGGACGGTTCCGGACAAGTTGATATGCTCCGTGCCTCTAACCTCCTTATAACGATCTGCTTGAATAAAACATGGGTTCGGCGGGCGGGTTTTGAGGCGATTCGGTGCGTGTTGTGACGTGGGTGTGCCATGTGTGGTGTGGTGTGGCCGTGTTGTGACGTGTGACGTGGTGTGGTGTGGCCGTGTTGAGACGTGTGACGTGGTGTGGTGTGGCCATGTGAGTCGTGTGACGTGGTGTGGTGTGGCCATGTTGAGACGTGTGACGTGGTGTGGTGTGGCCGTGTTGTGACTGGGTGTGGTGTGGCCATGTTGTGACGTGTAACGAGGTATGGTGTGGCCATGTTGTGACGTGTAACGGGTATGGTGTGGCCATGTTGTGACGTGTGACGAGGTGTGGTGTGGCCATGTTGTGACGTGTAACGAGGTGTGGTGTGTCCATGTTGTGACGCGTGTAACGAGGTGTGGTGTGTCCATGTTGTGACGTGTAACGTGTTGGTGTGTCCATGGTTGTGACGTGTAACGTGTGGTGTGTGTTGTGGTGTAACATGTGGTGTGTCCCATGTTGTGACGTGTAACGAGGTGTGGTGTCGTGACGTGTAACGAGGTGTGGTGTGTCCATGTTGTGACGTGTAACGAGGTTGTGTGTGTGGGGTCGTTGTTGTGTGTAACGTGGTGTGGTGTGGTCCATGTTGTGAACGTGGTAGGTGTGGTGGTGTCCCAGTTGTGACGTGGGTGTGGTGTGTCCATGGTTTGTGACGTGGTTGTGGTGTTGGTCATGTTGTGACGTGGTAATGAATGGTCCTTTTGAGGGTAGACTGTGTGATAGGCTCTTTTTGATGGTGGATGGTAGTGATAATTTCACTGGAATCTGGATCATTAGTAGTAGGTTCTGTTGTTGGACTGGTGCTTATGGTTTCTTCTGGTGTTAGAGTGTTCATTCTTCATCTGTTGTACTGGTGATTTCTTCTGTTGCTGGACTTACAGTGAAAGGTTCTTGTGTTGGTTTGGTACCGACAGATTCTGTTGGTGTCGGTTTCTCGCTAATAGTTCCTTCTGTTAGAGTGTTATTAATGAATCCTGCAGGTGATGGAGTGATGGATCCCACTGTTGTTGATTCACTGCTTGTTTGCTGACAATTCAAGGTGCGACAGGGAGCATGGCTTTGACAGGTCTTGCTTTCCGTATCAAACACAGGCTTCTCTCTTGGGCATCTGATTCTCAAAGGGCGAGGAACAGTACCATCGAAGAATATACAGAGGAAGTAGTGATGGCAACTGGTTGGATCACGCACGATAGAATTTGGCTTGTCGCAGTAGATATTGCAAGGCCCATCGTCACCAGGGATGATTATGGGTGTAACTTGTGAGGGTTTGCCACTGGTAGCTAATGTTGTAGGAGTTGTAGCTATAACCCCTTCACATGTAGTAATACAAGGAATATCTGCAGCACAAGAATGTTTCTTCAGGTCAAAGACCGGTCGTTCTGGGGGACATTTTCCTCGAATTGGTGTATAGTGGGGATATGGAGTAAGGCGAGTGATGTTGCATGTATAGAAGTGGTTACAGTCAATAGGGTCATGGACAAGAGTGTGTTGGGATGAGCAAATTGGTCGGCATAGATTAACAGATGTTGAAGAATGTGTTGGCGTAACTGTGGGCGATAGCGTCACTATAGAAGAACTGGTATAGGGATATTCTGTTGTATCAGAGGCACTGTAGACGTTGGCAAATGAGTCGTNGAACGTTAAAAAAGAGTAATACACGAACCGAAAGTAAAAAAAAAGGAGTAATTACACGAACCAACGTTAAAAAGAGTAATTACAACGAACCGAACGTTAAAAAAAGAAGTAATACAACGAACGAACGTAAAAAAGGTAATCAAGAACCGAACGTAAAAAAAAGAGTAATACAACGAACCGAACGAAGCGAACCGAACGTAAAAAAGAGTAATACAACGAACCGAACCGTATTTCAACACAATTTTTTTTTCTTAATTCATCTTCACGCCAGCCGGTCGCCAACGTCGGCTGAACCATCAAACTAACTTAGAAATCATTAGAAGTTATGGACTGGCGTCTCGTTTGCACAACTGCTAAAATAAAAGTTTTGACTTCAACATCACTTTGGGAGCTCGTGAACATTGCACTTAGTGGAATGAGGTAGTGAGTGGTGATTGATGGTTGTTGATGGTGATCGTGGTGGTGGTGATGATGGTGGTGGTGATGGTGATGGTGGTTGTGGTGCGTGGTGATGATGGTTGGTGGTGGTGGTGTGGATGGTGGTGGTGATGGTGGTGGTGTGGTCATGGTGTATGGTGTGTGATGGTGGCGTGGTGGTTTGGTGGTGGTGGTGGTGGTGGCGGTGGTGGTTGATGTGGTGGTATGGTGATGATGGGTGGTGATGGTGGTGGTGTGATGGTGATGATGGTTGATTGATGATGGTGGTGGTGATGGTGATGATGGTGGTGGTGATGTGATGATGGTGGTGTGATGGTGATGGTGATGGTATGATGGTGGTGGTGTGATTGGGTTGATGATGTGGTGGTGTGGTGATGGTGGTGATGATGGTGTGGGATGGTGATGTGGTGTGATGATGTGTGTGGATGATGGGTGGTTGGTGATTTGATGATGATGATGATGGTGGTGGTGATGATGATGGTGGTGGTGATAGTGATAGTTGTTGATGGTGATAGTGGTAGTAATTGTGGCATTGATAGTTTTGAGGATAGTGGTAGTGGTGGTAAAGGTGGTGGTGATGATAGTGGTAAGTGGTGTTGAACATAATGACAATGGTTAAATGGTGTTACATATTGTTGGTGAGGATAGCAATAAAGGCAGTGGTGGCGATAATAGTGATAGTGATGATGATAGCATTAGTGGTAATAGTGATGGCACAGGTGATGATAATGAATGTGGCGATGACGACAATGACACTAGTGGTGAAAATGACAGTGAGGGTGGTGTTGAAGGCGGCGATTCTGATAGCTGTCGTGATGTGACCAAGGAAACAAAGATACAACGAAGCAGCGGAGAAGCGACGAAACTGCGCCCGGTCACCACCACCACATCAAATTGCGGACCACATCAAATTGGACACTTTAATTCAGGCTACTTTTGCGGATTCCCATTTCCTCTATATAGGACACAGAAAAAAGAAAAAAAATACATAACGAAAACACATCAAAAACACATTAAACGGAAATGCATAAACAAAATAAAAACAACCCCGTATTCCATACACATATTTCAAACGTTTTCAAACATTTCGTAAACGTTAAACAAAAGGCAATTAAGTTCATATACAAACCGCGCTAACATCTGTGCGGTTTTGTATGTAAACGGGGTCATTGTTGGTAATTTGGCCTCACGAAATTACATACATGAGACGGCGAGGATGTATTACTAAGATGGTTGTAGTTCTTGTTTGCGATTGTAGTATCTGGTTTGGTGGTTGTAGTTTGGTTGTAGTATCTGGTTTGGTGGTTGTAGTTACTGGCATGTGGTTGTTATTGTGGCTGCTGCTAGGATGGTTGTGGTTTGTGCTGCTGCTATGGTTGTTGGTGGTTTGGTGGCTGTTGCTATGGTTGTTTGGTTTTGGCTGCTGCTATGGTGGTTGTGGTTTGTGCTGCTTGCTATGGTGGTTGTGGTTGTTGTGCTATTTGGTGGCTGCTGCTATGGCGGTTGTGGGTTTGTGGCTGCTGCTATGGTGGTTGTGGTTTGTTGCTGCTGCTATGGTGGTTGTGGTTTGTGGCTGCTGCTTTGGTGGTTGTGGTTTGTGGCTGCTGCTATGGTGGTGTGGTTTGTGGCTGCTGCTATGGTGGTTGTGGGTGGTTGCTGCTATGGGTTGTGTTGTGGCTGCTGCTATGGTTGGTGTGGTTTGTGGCTGCTGCTATGGTGGTTGTGGTTTGTGGCTGCTGCTATGGTGGTTGTGGTTTGTGGCTGCTGCTATGGTGGTTGTGGTTTGGCTGCCTTGCTATGGTGGTGTGGTTTGTGGCTGCTGCTATGTTGTTGGTGTGGCTGCTGCGTATGGTGGTTGTGGTTTGTGCTGCTTGCTGCTATGGTGGTTGTGGTTTGTGGCTGCTGCTATGGTGGTTGTGATTTGTGGCTGCTGCTATGGTTGCCGTTGTGGTTTGTGGCTGCTGCTATTGGTGGTCTGTGCGTTTGTGGCTGCTGCCTATGGTGGTGGTTGTGGGTGGCTGCTGCTATGGTGGTTGTGGTTTTGTGGCTGCTGCTGATGGTGGTTGTGGTTTGTGGCTGCTGCTTATGGTGGTTGTGGTTTGTGGCTGCTGCTATGGTGGTTGTGGTTGTGGCTGCTGCTTATGGGTGGTTTGTTGTGCTTGGTGTTTGATTTGTGGCTGCTGCTATGGTGGTTGTGGTTTTGTGGCTGCTGCTATGGTGGTTGTGGTTTGTTGGCTGCTGCTATGGTGGTTGTGATTGTGGTGGCTGCTGTGGTGTTTGTTTGTGGCTGCTGCTATGGTGTTGTGGTTTGTGGTGCGTTGTGGTTGTGGCTGCTGGCTGCTGCTATGGTGGTTGTGGTTTGTGGCTGCTGCTAGGTGGTTTGTGGTTTGTGGCTGCTATGCTGCGTGTTGTGTTTGTGGCTGCTTGCTATGGCGGTTGTGGTTTGTGGCCTGCTGCTATGGTGGTTGTGTTGTGGCTGCTGCTATGGTGGTTTGGTGTGGGCTGCTGTATGGCGGTTGTGGTTTTGCTGCTATGCTGTGTGGTTGTGGGTTGTGGCTGCTGCTATGGTGGTTGTGTTTTGTTTGTGGCTACTGATTTGACGATTGTGGTTGTAGCTTGCTTGTGAGAGCTGTTTGGTTGATGTGGTTGTTGGTTGTTGCCGGTTCGTGGTTATTGTTGGCTTGTGGCTGTGTTTGCTGATGCGACTGTTCGTGTGTGGTCGCCATGGTAGTTTTGACAATGGTTGATATTTCCAGGTGTAAGTCAAGCAAGCTATTGCCTTACTTCCGAACCCGACTCGACTTCTCTGGACACGAAAAATCGATACAGTTTCGTTCAGGCGAAAGTGGCGTTTCATAATCCTTCCTTACGGTGGAGTCTTGGCCTGTTCTCTTGCGGCCCCTTACTCTTCCATCCACCTCCCATGTGGCCTCTAATCCAATATCATCCATATGTACTGCGCTTGTATTCCCCTTTCCAGCTTCCCTATCTACTGGGGTTGTATTTTTTTTCTTCCACATAACTCCTAATATCTACTTGGACTATCATCCTTCCCGTTTCACATTCCTACACCCCACCTCCATTCTCCACCATCCACTCTCTACCCTTCAGCCCTTCCACCTTTCGTTTCCCACTCTCTCCCTTCCACCTTCCGCCATTCACATACCACACTCCCTCTTCACATACCACTCCCTCTCCACCTTCCACCCTCCCCCTCCACTTTCCACCTCCTAACTCCCACTCTCCTCCCCTTCCACCCTCCACCTCCCACTCTCCTCCCCTCCACCTTCCGTCTCCCACTCCCCTCCCCTTCCACCCTCCACCTCCCCTCTCTTCCTTCCCCCCCAGCTCCCACTCCCCTCCCCTTCCACCTTCCGTCTCCCACTCCCCTCCCCTTCCACAGACCCCAAACATTCCCAGCTGCATCACCATCCCTCCTCTTCCCTCCCTCCCTCCCTCCCTTCCTTCGCTCGGACCAGCAGCCCTTCCAATCATTTACAATTCCCCATTCTGCACGAAGCCCTTTGCCCTAGTAAAGAGAGAGGGGAAACAGGCAGGGGAATCTTTAAACACAACGGCAGAGAAAGTACTGTGTGGGAAGTTACGAATTAGAGGTCTGTTCGGATCTGGATTAGATAACAGCAAATCGTAGGTTTAATCTTTTCCCATTAAATAGCACTTACATATTGGAACTTCGAAATGCTATAATCTGACGAAAATTACTATTTGTAGCTGTTGTATTGCACTTACATACTGTAACTTGGAAATGCTCTAATCACAAGAAAATTACTCCATTTGTGACTGTTGTATTTAAAGACTGATAAGAGAACAATGGCAACAGCTGCTGCCAAACCATATCACATTCGTAGGTAAATAAAACGAACCAATAACATTAGAACAAAGAGGAAACATAATTCTAGAAACGTGAGAATGAGAAAGAGGATCATTTGACCGTCTATAGTGATCTACTTAAATATTTTTGAGAAAGATAATGCATTTCTGAATACGATTTCATAACCGAAACTTTGAATTATTCATCTTGAAAGTGTGCACTCCTTCGCAACACTTCTGAACACAGCAAGGAGCATGATATAATGCAAACCGCAGAGATTTTCGACCGGTTCGGCAGACACGAACAAAAGGGGGATCATAATGATTTAGGAGAAGAATGGAAACCGCTCAAAACTGATGCCTGAACATTCTCTGCGTTTATAGTTTGCGAGGAAAGATGTATATATTCAGAATGAAAATAATAAACAGGATGCAAGAACATCAAACACGACAACGAAATAGAATACAAAATATAAAGGACGTTAAGAAAATGAGAATACACACAGACGAAAACCAAAGAATCGAGTACATGTATTTTCCTTTTTTTTCTTACTCTTTTTTTTCTTCTGAAGCTTGAGTCCTGGTCGCGTGCAGGTCGAGGAAGCCCCACTGCGTGTACAAACATTTCTGGTATCGAAACGCCATTCCACTTTCGCTGATTTATTCATGTCTGTTTTTCCCATATTCGTTCGTCTCCCTTCGTTATTTTTGGTTATTCTTATCCATCTATTTTTATCTATCCTATATTTTTTTTATTTTTGAAACAGGAGATGGAGAGTAGTAAAAGGGAGAAAAAGGAATAGAGAAAGAGGGAGAGAGAGGAGAGAAAGAAAGATAGAAAAAGAGAGGGAAAGAACGAAAATTACAAAAGGAGCGGGGGAGAGAGAAAAGAAAAGAAAATGTAAGAGACGGAGAAGAGATCTATAAACACTGCCAAACAAAGACGGCAACGAATGCAGAAATACGTAGTAAACACAATGGCTCGATCCAAAACAGAGCAGCAGGAATAACTTAACGGAGAGCAATCACTGGGCTAAAACCAAACCCTCCTATTACCTTTCCCTTCTTCCTTCCCTCTCCCTTTCTCTTTCCTTCCCTTCCTTTTCTCCTTTCTCTTTCCTTCCCTTCCCCTTCCCTTCCTTTTCCTTTCCCTTTCTCTTTCCATCCATCCCTTTTTCTCCTTTCCCTCCCTTTTCTCCTTTCCCTTCCCTTCTTCCCTCCTTCCCTTCCTCCCTCCCTCTCCCTTGTTCCCTGTTTTTCCTTCTATTTTGTCTACTTACTGCTGTTTTTTTATATAATTTCTACCAGGTCTAGACAACGAAAAAACATACTGATTGATTGCTTAAATAGATTTATCCGAAGAAGAATATTTGACAAATTTATTAGATATATATATATATATTTTTTTTTTTTGCAATTTACAATAAAATACTATTTCTTCCGTCTCCCTGCTCTATCTCTCTCTGTTTATCTCCCTCAAATCCTCAAGTTCTCCTAAACCATCTCACCTGACCTAGCTTCGCATAGATAACCTTAACGTTAAAAAGGTATGAATGAGAAGGAATATTCCCAATAAAAGAGATGTATTTGCCCGGTTTCGAATACATCGTCAGATATACATTCGAAAAGACACCTGTTGTATTGTGGAGATATTCATTCTCATTTATTTCCTTTTTTACAATTGTCAAAATGACCTCTTAAGACTCAATAAATAAACGAAATAAACAAATAAACAAATACACAAATAAATTAATAAACAAAAATAAATAAATAAATGAATGAATGAATGAATAAATAACATGAATAAATAAAAATGAAAATAATAAATAAATAATAATAATAATAAATAAATATGAATAAATAAATAAATAAACGAATAAATAAATAAACAAATTAATAAACAACAATAAATGAAAAAATAAACATAATGAATAAATGAATAAATAAATAAAACGAATAAATGAATAAATAAAATAAATGAATAAAACAAATAAACAAACAAACAAACAAAAAACAAAAAAACGAAACAAAATAAAAAGCCCCTCCTCCAGTCATCCAAGACAGCGACCACCCCGCCCCAGCATCCTCCGCGTCGAGCATCTCCTCCTCCGCGTCCCTGAGAGCTCCCTCGCCGGCGCGGGAGGGCGTCGCGCGGGGAGGGAATTGCGCGGTGAAAGTGCGATCTGTGGAGGCGCGTCGGGGAGGAAATGGGGACGGAGGCGACGGCCACTCCGAGGGGGCCTTCTGCTCATGGCGGAGTGGCTCCTCCTTACATCGTGTGCGCGCATCACAATTCAAATACATACATACATACAAACATACAAACAACATATATATATATATATATATATATATATATATATATATATATATATATATATATATATATATATATATAGAGAGAGAGAGAGAGAGAGAGAGAGAGACGAGAGAGAGAGAGAGAGAGAGAGGGAGAGGGAGAGGGAGAGAGAGGAGAGGGGAGGAGAGGGAGAGAGATATATACACATTAATACACATGTATTATACATGCCTATGCATATATATATATATATATATATATATATATATATATATATATATATATATATAATATATATTATATAACACAAATATGTATATAAATTACATACAAATCCATGCACATGCAAATAAATACATATTTACATGCAAATGAAAAACAGGAATGCATATTCATGTATACACACAGACAAATTGTTTGTATCTGTGTGTATCATATGTATACCATATACACGCCATATATAGCGGGAGTTTAGACGCATAAAACAAACCAAATGTTTTTTTTTTTTTTTTTTCTAGTGCACAAGAAATTACCCTCCCCCCCAAAAAAAAAAAAAAAAAAAAAATAACACACAACACACACCTTCTAACACACACAAGAGCAACCCCAACCAGAACAAAAGCAATTAACAACAACAACAACAAAACGTGTCACGTGTCACGCAACTGGCAACAGCTGCGGCCCGAGATAATCAAGCAGGTGCCTGGACACTTGCGCCCTTAATTACACCCGCTTTAAATTCGACAAAAACTGACGTCGACACATCACCATTCTGCTCTCGGCGAAGGGGACCGGCCAGGGAATTAAGGGGTTCGGGGGAATTAAGGTTTTTCTGCGGAACTTCAAGGGCACTCGATGGCGGCGGCGGCGGCGGCGATGTCACATACATCTTCATCATAAAAATAATGGTTTATACATTCAATACACCTAGATTTATTGCCTATATACGGGGTATATTTATGCCTTTCCTATGTGTACATATATATGAATGTGAATTAGTTAATTTATGTGTGTGTATATGTGTGTGTGTGTGTGTGGTGATGTGTGTGTGTGTGTGTGTGTGTGTGTGTGTGTGTGTGTGTGTGTGTGTGTGTGTGTGTGTGTGTGTGTGTGTGTGTGTGTGTGTGTGTGTGTGTGTGTGCGCGCGCGCGCGCACCTTGTGCAAAGGTATTCATTCATTAATGAATTATAGATGTTTATCCATATACTGAAGATACCAATACATGACTGATTGCATATATGTATATACATAAAGGCAAAATTCCTTATACGCACATATAGAGATAAGCATTTACAGTACATGTGTATTTATCATACATATGTGTGATAATAAATATACAATTTACAAATATGCAAACAAACGATTGTATAAATGCTTACACGTCTGTATATCTGGCCTATGTATGCACACGTAATCATACCTGATATGTATACGTATCGATATGTAGAAGTGTGTATATACCCACTTTATGTATAGATATAAATCATAAACTTATGGCAGTTTATGGATCATTGTAGCGTCAGAGCAAAAAAAAAAACAGGTTTTAAACATTTTAAGATCTTGGAAAATAAAATACAATCTCATAAAATACATCAAAACAAGATAAACAGGCTCATCGTTTTATGGTTATTCTCTTCCTAGAAAAAATATATTTATCACCGCATGAAAAGCAACTTAAAACCGATAGAGTTCGCTAGAAAAAATTATATTGATGTGCTTTCAAAGTTTACGTCGTTACAATTTCTCCAATGGTTAGTTCATAGCCAATACCCTCAAACGTGATCTCGTCTAATTAAGTGCGTTTCGATAAGCTAGTGGGCTGAAATGCATAACCCTATCACACTAAAAAAGGTTTCTTTGTTATGGATTGTGTGATCTGATGATCCATGATGTGCAATTTGGTGTATAACTGATGTGATGCTGATATTCGAGGTCTCATGGGATGTGATGTGATGTACGACTGATAAAATTCATAATCTGATGTGACGCATGGATGATAAAATGCATGATATGCTGATGTGATGTACGACTGATAAAATGCATGATGTGGCTGAGTGATGTGATGAGCGACGTATTATGTGACGTCTCGAGAGCCTTGCCATAACGCGAGGAGAGCGCTCTGACATCTGCCGGCGAGGGAGCGAATCGTCTCCAAAAGAGGAAAGGCGATCCACAGTCACCGCCATCAGAGCTTAATATGAATAATCTAATAAACTCGCAAATCTCAAATGTGATTTAATTCGATCTGGCACGGACGGTTCCGGACAAGTTGATATGCTCCGTGCCTCTAACCTCCTTATAACGATCTGCTTGAATAAAACATGGGTTCGGCGGGCGGGTTTTGAGGCGATTCGGTGCGTGTTGTGACGTGTGGCCATGCTGTAACGCGTGACGTGGTGTGGCCATGTTGAGTCGTGTGAGTGTTTGGTGTGGCCATGTTGGAGTGACGTTGGTGTGGTGTGGCCATGTTGAGTCGTGTGGTGTCTGTGGTTGTGGCCATGTGAGTCGTGTTGACGTTGGGTGTGGTGTGGCCGTGTGTGGACGTGGTGAGTGGTGGTGGCCATGTTGTGAACGTGTTAACGAGGTATGGTGTGCCATGTTGTGACGTGTAAACGGTATGGTGTGGCATGTTGTGACGTGTACGAGGTGTGGTGTGGCCATGTTGTGACGTGTAACGAGGTGTGGTGTGTCCTGTTGTGACGTGTAGTGTGGTGTGTTCCATGTTTTGACGTGTAACGAGCGGTGTGTTGTGTCCATGTTGTGACGTGTAAACGATGTGTGGTGTGTCCATGTTGTGGACGTGTAACGAGGTATGTGTGGTGTCAGTAGGTGTGTAACGAAGGTGTGGGTGCCATGTTGTGACGTGTAACGAGGTGTGGTGCATGTTGTGACGTGTACATGTGGTGTGTCCAGTTGTGAGATGTAACGAGGTGTGGTGTGCCATGTTGTGACGTGGTGTGGTGTCCATGTGATGAGGTTGTGTGGTGTTGTCCATGTTGTGAACGTGGTGTGGTGTAGTCCATGTTGTGACGTGGTGTGGTGGTCCATGTGTGACGTGTGAGTGGTTGGTCCATGTTTTGACGTTGGTGTGGTGTGTCCAGTGTTGTGACGTGGTGTGGTGTGCCATGTTGTGACTGGTGTGGTGTGTTCCATTTTGTGACTGGTGTTGGTGTGTCCATGTTAGTGACGTTGGTGTGGTATCGTGGTGACGTGTGACGCTAAGTGTGGTTGTGGTCATGGTATGTGAGTGTTGACGTAGTGTGGTTGTGGTCATGGTGTGGACGTGTGACCTCAGTGTGGTGTGTCATGGTGTGAGTGCTGACAGTAGTGTGGTGTGGTCATGGTGTGACGTGTGACGTAGTGTGTGTGGTCATTGGTGTGACGTGTGACATAGTGTGGTGTGGTCATGGTGTGACGTTGACGTGGTGCTGGTCATGGTGTGACGTGTGAGTGGTGTGGTCATGGTGACGTGTGGACGTAGGTGGTGTTCAGTGTTGGTTGTGACGTAGTGTGTGTGGTCATGGTGGTGACGTGACGTGTGGTGTGGTCATGGTGTGACGTGACGTAGTGTGGTGTGGTCATGGTGGACGGTGTAGTGTGGTGTGTCATGTGTGACTGTGACGTAGTGGGGTGGTAGGTTGTGACGTGTGGACGTAGTGTGGTGTGGTCATGGTGTGACGTGTGACGTGGATTGATGGTCATGGTGTGACGTTGACGTAGTGTGTGTGGTCATTGGTGTGACGTGTGACTAGTTTGGTCTGATGTGGTCAATGTTTACGTGTGACGTTTAGTGTGGTTGGTCATGGTGTGACTGTGAGTAGTGTGGGTGGTGGTCATGGTTGACGTGTACGTAGTGTGGTGTGTCATGGTGTGAGTGTGACGTAGTGTGTGTTGTTCATAGGTGTTGACGGTTGACCTTAGTGTGGTGTGGTCATGGTGTGACGTGTGACGTGGGTGTGGGGTCAATGGTGTGACCTGTACGTAGTGTTGTCGGTCATGGTGTGACGTGTTGACGTAGTGTGGTGGTGGCATGGATTGTGACGCTGTGACGTTCGGTGCTGGTCATGGTTGACGTGTGACCGTGGTTTTGGTCTGGTGTGACGTGTTGACGTTGGTGTGGTCATGGCATGTGACGTGGTGACGTGTGTGTCATTGGTGTGACGTGTGACGTGGTGGGTGTGGTCATGGTTGACGATGATACTGGGTGTGGCCATTATTGTGACGTTGGTTGTGTGTGGCCCATGTTGTGTTCTGTGGACGAGTGTTGGTGTGGTCATGGTGTGACGTGTGACGTAAGTGTAGGTTGTGTCATGGTGTGGGACGTTGTTGGACTGATGTGTGTGTTCCATGGTGTGCGTGTAACTCCCGTATGTGTGTGGTTCATGGTTGTGACGTGTGACGTGGATGTGGTCATGCTGTGACGTGTGACCGTAGTGTGGTGTGGCCATTACGGGTTGGTAAAACGTGTGACGGAGTGTGGTTGTGTCATGGTGTTGACGTGTGACGTAGTGTTGTGTTGGTTCATGGTGTGACGTGTGACGTAGTGTATGGTGTGACGTGTGACGTAGTGTGGTGTGGTCATTGGTGTGACCCGTGTGACGTAGTGTGGTGTGGTCATGTGTGACTGTTGACGTGCGTTGTGGTTCATGGTGACGTGTTACGTCATGTGTGACGTGTGTCGTGGTCATGGTGTGACGTGTGTCGTTAGTGTGTTGTGGTCATGGTGTGACGTGTGACGTTAGTGTGGTGTGGTCATGGTGTGACGTGTGACGTAGTGTGGTGTGGTCATGGTGTGACGTGTGACGTAGTGTGGTGTGGTCATGGTGTGACGTGTGACGTAGTGTGGTGTGTTGGTGTGTGGTGTGACATGTGTGTGGTCATGGTGTGACGTGTGACGTAGCTGTGTGTGGTCATGGTGTGACGTGTGACGTAGTGTGGTGTGGCCTTGGTGTGACGTGTGACGTGGTGTGGTCATGGTGTGACGTGTGACGTAGTGTGGTGTGGTCATGGTGTGACGTGTGAACCGTTGTGACGTTGTGCCACGTGTGGTGGTGTGGCCAATGTGTGACGTGTTTTGACGTGGCCGTGTTGTTACGATCAGACTAATGGATTCTGCGCATTATTCATCAAAAAGATTCACTAGTTGTCAAAATATGGAAAGTGTAATTCTTTGTCTCCCCCGTCATTTTTTTCTTCCTTTACTCTCATTATACACACACTCAGACACACATTCCCAACCATCCATACGATTACACACTTCCACACACATTATGCAAATAAACATTCACATGTGCACATTTACGAATGCATACATAACCCCTCCCCCATCCATACACCCCCGCACACACACACACACACACAGGCCAACAAATTAAGCGAAGGCCATAGACCATTTTCATCCAGAAGATGCTAGAACCTCGACATAATCGAAAATGTCAAAAGAGAGAAATGGATCACAACACAATCTAAAAAAAAAAAGAGACATCCCATCTACAAACATGACCGCATCCCCCCTACACACATACATACACACACATACACGAGCGCGTTCGCATACACGCACACACTTGCGCACCAAGCCTACTCCAAGTTCAAGGCCGGCCCTGAACTCGACATCTGGGCGCAGGTGTCCCTCCCACGCCGGCAAGCGGTTAACGTCAGAGGAAATGATTTACGAATAGCGACTTTCGAGTTCAGGAGGAGCGCTGAAAAACGTTAGAGGCCGTTGGATGTGGTACGGTAAATCTGCCAACGTCTGCCAATCTGCCAACGTCTGTCAGTCTGCCAACGTCTGTCAGTCTGCCAATCTGCCAACGTCTGCCTGCCAACGTCTGTCAGTCTGCCAACGTCTGTCAGTCTGTCAGTCTGCCAAGTCTGTCAGTCTGTCTGCCAACGTCTGTGTCTGCCAACGTCTGTCAGTCTGCCAACGTCTTCATCTGCCAACGTCTCTCAGTCTGCCAATCTGCCAACGTCTGTCAGTCTGCCAAGTCTGTCAGTCTGCCAATCTGCCAACGTCTGTCAGTCTGCCAACGTCTGTCAATCTGCCAACGTCTGTCAATCTGCCAACGTCTGTCAATCTGCCAACGTCTGTCAATCTGCCAACGTCTGTCAGTCTGCCAACAGTCTGCCAATCTTTTCCCCTTGTCTATCCCTCTCTACCCCCCCCCCTTTGCCTATCCCTCTCCACCTCTCTCTATTGCACGCTTATCTTCCCCTTTCCCTGCCCCTTCTCGTTCCCCTCTCTCTATCACCTAATCCTCCCTCTTTTATTGCACCTTTTCCCCGAAAGCTATCGCAAGAGAAAAAAAAAGTAATTGCAACGCCGATACAGATTTCGCGAACAATCAAACGCCGCCCCACAGTTGCCAATTCTTATCGCAGCTGGCGTGATAAGAACCGGCAACGTCTCTGTTTCGCCAGCTGTTTTCACGCAGCGAGCGACCAGCTGTGATGGCGCGGGGTCGCTGTGGAACCCGCGCTCGTTCTGCGGTCGCTCTATCAGGCTTTAGTCATCAATGTGTTGATATTACTTTTTTTCTTTTTTGTGTGTGTGATTGTGTGTGTGCACGCTCCTGTCAATCAGTCACAGTCTGTGTCAGGCCTGCCAAACCTGCCTGCCAGTCAGTCATTCTGTCTGTCAGGCCTGCCAAACCTGCCTGCCAGTCTGTCACAGTCTGTCAAGCCTGCCTGCCTGCCAGTCAGCCATGCGCAACCCATCAGCCAGCCAGTCAATCTATCGGCCAGCGAATTATTCCGTGCCTGTCAGTGCGCCTGGATATCATGAGGGAAAAAGCAAGGAAAACCGCTGAAAAATCGGGTGAAAGTAGAACAAAAACAAGATACTGTTATCCGCTAGAAAAAAATTGGGATTTCCGTCAAAAACATGGAAATATGTAACACGTGATAGGAGATAAAGGCGATAGTAACTGATAATGACAACGGTTAAAATTTTGGGGTGAAATAAACAGCATTTTTTCTTTCTTTTTACGTTGGGAAAAAAGTTTTCATATTTTCAAAGGATGTGAATAAATATAACGGATTAGTATCATCGTCACGGTGATAACAAACTAAACTAAAAAAAAAAAAAATAAAATAAAATGTGATCACTAATAATAGTAATAACATTGATAACAATAACAGACACAATAGTAAAAGAATGATAAAGACTTGCAAACCATGAGATGGATGACAACAAAAATGAGTTAGAGTAATACATATATTGACGATTAGTCTTAATATATAGCCATAAGACTAACAATAGTGGCAATAATAGCAATAATAATAGCAGGGATAATAATAATGACAGTGATAATGATCGTGACACGGATAGTAAGAACAGTAAGCAACAACAATAATAAAAAAAATCACGGAAACAAGCAACGAAAACAAAGCCAATATCCAATAACAAAGACGACTAAGCAACAATGCTAAAATAAATATACCGAACTCGTTCAATAGAAAAAAAAACAACAATGGAGCGCAAGGAAAGAAAAACTTAAGACAACGGATAAAGATGAAAAGACGAGAAGGAACCAGAGAGACGTAGGCCACCGATGCCAACGTCACGGCGCAACATTTGGAGGGTTTCACAGTAACTTCACCCCCCTCCCCTCCATCAAGACCCTTACCTTCTGGCTCTGGCAAACTCTCTTTCGTCAATTCCACCTCCCACAAGTCTGGTGTCTCTCTTCTCATCCCCTCGTCAATCTCTGTGTATTCATTATTCCATTATTATTATTATTATTATTATTATTATTATTGTTATTCCCTGTTCACATTTTCTTCTCACTTCTCTTGTCCGTGCCCTCCAAATTATCCTCAAAATCCTCACCTCCTTCTCCCTGCCTACTCTTCCCCTCTCCTATTGCCCGATCCTAGCCCTCTTTACCTCCCCACGGGCTCTCCCCTCATTTTCTCTCTCCCCCTACCATACCTTCCCCAACCCTATGCCTTCCTCCCTCCATTTCCCTCTCCTACTCTACCCCCTCCTTCCGGTCCTCGCCCTGCCCCTTCCTTCACTTCCTCCCTACTCTTTTCCCTCCCTTCTCCTTCTTTCCAACCCCTCCCTCGTTTCCCAACGTCTCACCCTCTCTTTCCTTCGTCCCTGCCCATCCCCTCGACCACTGTCCACCCTACCCCCTTCTCCTCCCTCCCTTCCCTTCCTCGTCCTTCTACCATTTTACTTCTTTCGTCCCCTGCCCACCCTACCCATTTCCACACCTTCCCCTGCTTCCCCCATCACCCGCCCACCCTGCCCCCATCCCTCCCTTCCCTCCTTTTCCCCGAAGCTAAACCTGTTGCTTCGTGCGAACTGTCCCGGATGTCGCCAATCCCTCGCTTCACTAGATTCTTTTTTTCAATGGCATGGTAAGATGATTCCGTCTCTCGGTTTGCAAGCGTCTTTGCGAATGTCGGACGGGGGGGGGGGAAAGAGAGAAGGAAGGGGAAGGGGTGAAAGGGAGTGGGAGTGAGAGAGAATGCGGGTACGTGTATGTCTGTGTGACACCTATTCGCCTCTTTGTATGTATTGTAAGTAAATGTATGTATGTGTGTGTGTGTGTGTGTGTGTGTGTGTGTGTGTGTGTGTGTGTGTGTGTGTGTGTGTGTGTGTGTGGTGTGTGTGTGTGTGTGTATGTGTGTGTGTATGTGTGTATGTGTTATGTGTGTGTGTGTGCGCGCTTGTGCGCGCGCGCGCGCGTATGTGTATGCGTATGTGTGTATGTGTATGTGTATGTGTATGTGTGTATGTGTATGTGTATGCGTGTGCGTGTGCGTGTGTGTGTGTATGTGCGTGCGTGCGCGTAGCGTGCGTATGCGTGTGTAAATTTTCTTACATGCCACTGCTTGATAAGACGAAAGAGACGAGTGTTCCAAAGCAAACTAACGGACGCGTTCCCGCAAGCGGCGGCCGCTGCCTCAGCCAGAGCCAGCCGAAGGGCCTTCAAAGGCTCCCCGGGTAATAAGATGATCTGGCGGTAAGCGCCTCCTGCTCGAAGTCTTCTGAAGTGGGACTCAATCGCTCAAGCATATTAACGGACTCGAACTTAAAAGCAGTATGCGCACGCGGGTTGCAAATTAAATATACTGAATAAACAACAAATTACACACATGCAATACTTGCCATACTTACACACACACACACGCACGCGCGCATACTTAACACACACACACACGCACGCGCGCATACTTACACACACACCACAGCGCACACGTACTTACACACACGACAACACGCACAACGTACTTACAATCACTCACTACAGCTATCTACGTACTCCTACCACTCATTACACAACACGTCTTTATCGATTCAGCTATCATTAAACGACGGTCCGGGTCGCTGGTTTAGTGGTGATAGTTTGGTTTTGTGAGCTAACTATATGTAATTGAGTGATCGAGTATGTGATTGTTGTGTAAGTATAGTACTTTGTTGTGGTTGTTGTGAGTTACGTTTGGACTCAGCGTGTGTGGTGTTTTTGATAACACAGTACGACACGTGCGTTGTGTTGTATTAATGTGTGTAACGTACGTTTTAGTTGTGTTGTTTGATGGTACGTTGCAACTACGTACTTTACCAGCACCACTATTTCACGCCTTTTGTGCAGCGTGTAACGTTGTGATCAAGCACGAACTCAGACCGGTGTACTTACGATTCATCGAGCACGACTGTATGTAGCTTGTAGTCACT